ATATCATGCTTGAAATTATGCTAATGTTAGCATACAATACGCTAACTGGGCTAAATAAAATCTGCAGCAAATATTTAGTCAGTCATTCTCTTAAAGTTGTTTTGTACAGTGTTAATAAAGTTGTGTGCCTTTGTACAGTGTTAAATCAAAGTTGTGTGTTTTGTACAGTGTTATAAAGTTGTGTGTTTGTACCAGGTGTTAATAAAGTTGTTTGTACCAGCTGTTAATAAAGTTGTGGTGTTTGTTACAGTTGATAACTAAAACGTTGGTGGTTGTTTGTAGCAGTGATAATAAAGTTGTTTGTACAGTGATAACTAAAAGTTTGCTTGTTTGTACAGTGATAATAAAGTTGTGTGTTTGTACAGTGATAATAAAGTTGTTTGCTACAGTGTTAATAGAGTTGTGGTGTTTTGTACAGTGATAATAAAAGTTGTGTGTTTGTACAGTGATATAAAGTTGTTTGTACGTGATAATAATAGTCGCTGTCGTTTGTACCCAGTTGATAATACAGTTTGTGTGTTTGTAACCAGTGATAATAAAGCTGCTGGTTTGTAGAGTGATAATAACAGTTGTGTTTCCGCTCAGTGATAGAATAAAGTCCTGGCTGTTTGTACAGTGACTATAATAGTTGATGTGTTTGTACAGTGACTAATAAAGTTGTGTGTTTGCTACAGTGATAATAACAAGCTTGTGGTGGTTTGTACAGCTGATAATAAGCTTGTGTGTTGTACAGTAGTAACACACACACACACACACACACACACAGTAACACACACACACACACACACACACACAGTAACACACACACTATTAAATGTTAATTACTGCGAACTCCATTTAGAAATCATTCACACTTAATTAATTCACATTGTTTTTACCATATTGATCAAAATACACAAAAATGACTGACAGAGGGACAATCGATAATTCAGCAATAATCAATTTCACAGAAGATCCAGTTTCACTTATTAAAACAGCAGAACTGAAGTTGGTCCAATGAACGCGCTGCAGACACACACACACACAC